TCTCGAATATCGTGCCAACTGAAACATGAGTTGGCCTGTTTGCAGCACATTCAGTTGTAGAACGTCATAAACGAGAGATTCAGTTAAGTTTCTCATGAAAGCCAAATCGATTTTCAAACGAGTGCATTTTTCGAGGATCATTATTCATTCAGATGCATCATCAGATGGTAAGGAAAACAGAAGCATTTATCAAATCTCCAAATCTCCAAATCTCCCCTCATTTCAACCATATCATGTCCGCGATGAATACGGCAGTGTGTACAGCTTACGCTGAACTACTGTCGAAATCAAGTACAGTCCAATCGTGAAGAGCCGGCTAATGTGATGAGGTAGTCCAATATCTGTACCCATGGTGGTGACTCTAAGTTGACGACAAAACATTTGCACTGTGGCGTTTTCCTCGTCCAAGTAAACCTGACATTTTGGAAACTAAGGGAATCCTCCACCTTCGTTCTAAGAGGTAATGTTGTCGAATAAATATTCCAGTGAGAATAGTTTTGTTACAACAGGCGATTCCTTTACGAAGTGTTCTCCCTAGAGAGAATTATTCGTAAGATTGGGTAGAGATAAGAAAGACTAGCTTCGTTTGGGGAAAGTACTTCTGAGAAGTGCTTCGTTTCTTAAGAGTTTCTGATAGAAAGCATTTAATTTTTCACGGTCAGGAGCTTCACATTTATTTCCAGATAGGCTTCATGATCCATGGAGGGAGGGAGTTAGATTTTCAAATAGGTATGAAGCACATTCAACTTTGGGGAAGCAAGTTCTTCCACTGTCAGTACGCGATGCACCACGGTGCATAAAAAGTGACCACCAATGCAAATCATTTAATTTTTCACGGTCAGGAGCTTCACATTTATTTCCAGATAGGCTTCATGATCCATGGAGGGAGGGAGTTAGATTTTCAAATAGGTATGAAGCACATTCAACTTTGGGGAAGCAAGTTCTTCCACTGTCAGTACGCGATGCACCACGGTGCATAAAAAGTGACCACCATTGCGGTGAAAAGGGATAATTTATCTTTTTTGTCATTTGGACTCTTCGGAAGAGCGTATCCTACGCCAAGTCACGGTAAACTTGGAACTTTATTGAGGACTACTCGGGGGGGGG